TTTGAAAACAACCCTCGCGGCCAGCAGAGGCGAACGGCGAGCGGAGAGAAGAGAGCGGCGAGGTGGTTGCGGAACGAACGGTAGGGTGCGGGAGAGGGGACGACGAGGAGACGGAGCGACGTGGTGCGGGCAGGAGGAGCAGAGAGAAGAAGAGCGGCACACTCACAGTCGTCAGGGCTGCCGGAGCGACGCGAGGGCGGACATCGCGAGCGCCGCGCTTCTTCTCTCGGGGCGCCCGCGCGAACAATGGCGCGGTCTCCACGTCGGGGTCACGGGTCACGCCACGCCCCCCCCCCATTGCCCGCCCCTCCCCCATTGCCCGCCCCTCCCCCTTCGCCCCGCCCCTCCCCCTTCGCCCCCCCCGTTCATCAGCTATAGTCCCCGCCTCTTCCTGCTCTAGCCTCGCCCTCGCCGCCTGCAGACCCCTCCCTATTTATTTCAAATGAACGTACCGTACCTACATCTTCACATTAAACGAATTTAGTTTCCAGCCAATCCACGAAAGTAATGTCCTGAAACAACCGTCCTACCTCAAAGGGTCCTCCTCTACCGGAGCCGATAGTATTCCCGTCTTTGCTCTACTAACTGTTGGTCACCTAATATACAAACCTATAGCCCATATGTTCAACCTTTCCATCAAAGAAGCATCAGTTCCTCTAGAATGGAAACATTCCTATGTCCGTCTACTTCACAAAGGGGGCCCTAAAGATGATCCAAATAACTACCGACCTATCTCAATTTTGTCCCCGTTGATTACATTTTTTGAAAAATTCTTCACCTACCAAATTAGCAGTTTCATGTCCACCAACAATCTACTACATCTAAAACAATCTGGGTTCCGAAAAAAATACAGCACCACATCTGCTGCATTAGACTCTCTGAATCACATTTACAGTAGCCTTGATAATAAGTAGTACTGTGTATGTCTTTTCTAGACCTGTCCAAAGCTTTTGATACAGTAGACCACAACACCCTGCTTAGTAAACTAAGTTGCCTCGGTTTTTCCGAAAACGCAGTAAAATGGTTACAAAATTACCTCTTTTCTTGCACCCAAACTGTATTCACAGATGGTTGAAGGTCAAACAGTGTTAAGATAACAAAAGGGGTTCCACAGGGTTCCATCCTCGGCCCCCTCTTGTTCTCTCTTTATGTCAATGACTTGGGCACTGACCTGGATTCATTCCAGGGTAAATCTTTTTGCAGATGACGCGATACTGATTACTGCTGGCCGCTGTCCGGATGACGTGATTGCTAAGCTACAGAGTGATTTCAACAAACTACAACATCAGCTAGTTGCTCTTAAACTAGTCCTGAATACCTCCAAAACCAAGGTGCTATGCTTCTCACCAGGACTAAAGCAGGAAGTTACTTTTCCCCAATTAAATTCCTTAAATAATTATCAAATAGAGCAAGTCAATACCTATAAGTATCTTGGGGTCATCCTGGATTCAAAACTGAATTTTGATGATCACATTGATTATATTGGTAAAAAGACAAACATAAAAATTGGTTTTCTGTATCGACACAAGCACTGCTTCCCCCCAATGTTCCGTTTGGAATTGATAAAAGATACCATACTGCCTCTACTTGACTACTGTGACATCGTGTATAAATCAGCCCCAAGTACTGTACTGAAGAAGCTTGATTCCATCTATCACTCGGCCTTAAGATTTACATTGAACTGCCCATATAGGACTCACCACTGTGATCTCTACATTGGGTCAAACTTAACATCTCTTAATGTTCGACGGCTTGTGCACCAGATCTTATTTATTCACGATGTACTTACAAAAAAATCCGCAGACTACCTGCTGGATCTCCTCTCTGTTTCAAAGAACAAATTTGACCTCAGGTCTTCGCTCATTTACCAGCTGCACATTCCCTATTGCCGTACAAAAACTGGAGGGCCTTTGATATTGATGCCCCCAGGGTCTGGAATGCTATTGCCAATAAACTGCAACTTAAATCGCTACCAATGAGATCTTCTCTCAAAACTGCTATTCATTGGCGTAAAATAAAATGTTTCGCTCCAGATGACGCTGCAAAGTATTATCTGTATTTTTATTTAGTGTGCTGATCTTAAAGGTGCATTGAAAAATGTGATACTCCAACTGATGCTTCTGTTGTTGTGGAGTAACTCATGCAGCCAGCTATGGCTCTAGGATTTGGTGTTACATGTTATGTATGTAGTTTATTGTAAAAATTCGGTCACAGTCCCTATGATCCCTGTTACGTTGCAATTATGGCTTTATTTTTTGGTGATTTTCGAAGACGTTTTTTGGTTTGGACATGTTTGTTTTGTTGTAGTACGGAGTTAGACTGATGGCCTTAATCTAAGTTTTCTTGTGGTTGTTGTTGTTTGACTTGCATCCCACTGGGATTTTTTTGCACACAGCGTTGGTGTACGGTGCTTTTTTCAGGAATATTTTGCTGCTTTTTTTCATGGATTTTCTGTTTGCACAGTCACATAGTCACTTTAAGATGTTTTCTTGTTCGTGTTTTTGTTTTTTTGTTTGTTGTGGTTGCACCCGATTCAAGAGCCGAATGGCTCACAGGGCTATACCAAAATAAATAAACTGAAAACTGAAAGCTTTCCTGACTGCAGGGATTCATATTCCTTGGGCCTTTTGGTAAAGCCACGTAAATAGAAAAATGTATAAGAAAAAACTATTATTTTGTTATTATTTTTTCTTCTATCTACGTGGCTTGACCGAAAGACCCAAGGAATACGTACCGCACCTATTTGATCGAAAACTTGTTTATTAGGAGTTTTTATTCTGGCACAGGGTAAAACCCATACCTGTCAACCCATATGGTTTACCCGTATTCTTGTACAGGGAAATTGAGTTTTCAGGTCCATACGGCGTACAGTCGTTTAAATACAGGAAAAAAAATTATATTTGGTTGTTTCTCCCTTGTGATGTGACTTTGTTGGATGAACGTTGATATTTATAAGGGCACGGGGTGACAAATAAGGTCCGAATTGGTCTCTAATAAGATGGGCACTGATAAGGGGTTGACAGGTATGAAAACCCGTTGGATGATAAATGCTCATTTTCGATGGGGACCTGGTTATGCCACAGAAGCCTGGCTACAGCCAAAAAAAAACAATCAAAAAGCAAATACTATAGACATGGTCAGGTCCGAATGACAAGGTCGTGCATCAACATGGTACAACATAAATATCCAAGGTTTATAGAAACACATCACATACAATAAAGATAACCTAAAAGCTGCTAAGCAGGTCCAAGATCGAATTAAAGTAGGACAAGGATGGTAAGGTTTTAATCACAAACATGTTCGCTGTGTGATTCCAGAGATGTGGGGCCGTCACACGGACGGAATTGAAACCGAGTTTAGTACTCACTTTGGTGATGCTCCTGCGTTGGCAGTGCTGCACAAGCAATATAACGGGCAAACTCAACAATTTAGGCAACCACAGTGGCCTTAAAAGAGGCGACGATTCGGGCAATGTAAAAGCTGTGATGAATGGCCCTTCTTAACCCTCTGAAGGCAGTGTATTTATTGACGGACGTGTCGAGTTATTTATTTCAAAACAATCATTGGCGTCGTGGATAATATAAACAAAAGGTCCGATATCTTAAATAGAGAATCATTGGCTTGCAGTTCATCAGCAAGTTTGTTTGTCTTAAAACAATGCTGCTGAAATTATGCACTTTTGAAAGGCCGAGGGGCGGATGGGTTATGCAAGTACAATACTTACTATATATTCGCTTCGTTTCTTTATTTTAGTTTGGTATTTGTCAATTTGGTGACCCAGAACACTATTGGAAATGAGACTCTCCCCGCCTCTCGACTTCTCACCCGATTAAACAAAATAAATGTGATAGTGTCTGCTTATCGAGTTGCTTTAAAAGCTCCGTCTCCTCTCTCCCGAGTCCTGGCCACCTGCGTCTCGCCAAGACCCCCACCGCCTCGCATCCTCCCAGAGCTTCCACCTCCCCTTAAACCAGCCCCAACCACCTCCCTTGCCTCTTGTCAAATTATTTGGCGATTCTGCGTTTGGTTGTCGTACACACGAGCGCAAATAACAAAATGTAGTAACCCAATACATTCGTCACTAAAACTGCCTTAAAGTAACATCAAATAAGCGAGCGGCCATGATTCACAGCGCCGATGACTCTTCTTCCTTGGCTGCGTGCAGTGAAATGTGGCCATTGCGCGAAACGTCGCTTGTTATAAACTTTCCCTTTGTTGAGTATTTTGTTTGCCTCTTGTTGTGTACCTCAGTGGGCTTTTGTCTGGCGGGATATGGATGGTTTATTTTTTTATGTGATTGGGTGATTTATTTACCTTTCTTGCACTTTGCACTCCTACCATGTTCCTGTATTGTTTGTTGTAACGTTCTTACCCGTCCCCGACGGGACATCTGCGAAAAAGAGCTTTATAGCTCATCGGATTTCTCCAGTATAAATATTCTATGAATCCATCGATTTATGTCGATTGCGTTCATGGTACGTTTGTTGAAGACTTTACGAGCCGGAATGAATTCCCTTCTCCACGTTTCGATGATAAAATGTTCGGAATTGCGACTCTAAACTCATCTTGTGAATCTTTACGCTCTCTAGTGGTGTGTATCTTTTGAATACGCAATTTTGTGATTCCGTTTAATGCAGTGGTGTGAATTGTTTCGTTAGACTATGTACCAGCATCGTTGATGATATATAATTCATAGCGGTTGTGAAACTATAGCATCTACAGTTGATATGGAAATCTTACCTTAAGACACCCATATCAATTGATATAACGGACTCTCAAAATATATACCGGAGAACATGCATATTGTTAAAAAAATAAGTTTGATGATGAATCAGTCCATCATTGCACACAATACTGTACTAGTATAACAAATTTTGGCCTGAACAAGTCCATCAATTGTCATGATTGATGGCCGCGATTAAATTTACAGACGGCATCGATTTACACTTTACAATTCGTGGTGGCCATAAACCAACGAATCGAGAACAACTCGTTCTCACCTCGCTCGACGAATGCCATCGTGATCTTCACGATTTATAATAACGAATCAATTAATCTATGCATCTGATCGATTAATCGATTTGCATTCACCGGATCCTCCCACTTCTGGCTCTCGACCACACCGCCCTCTTCATGGAATCACTTCCGGCCCCCACTTTTGAAACCCCCCCCCCCTCCATTTAGATATTACCCCAGAACTACTTCCGGCCCCCACCCTCCCCCCCACTGACCAATCCCCTGCTTGAACCAATTTCCGCCCCCCCTCTCTATTTATCTCTTCCCCCGGTCCTACTTCCGGTCACTACTCTTCATCCCCCCCCCTCCATTTATCTATTCCCCCGGTCCTACTTCCGGCCCCCCACCCTCCCCACTGACCAAGCCCCCTCCTCGATCCAATTTCCGAGCCCCCCCACCCAGGGGTTGAGCGCGAGACCGGAAATGAACGTTGGCCTGATAAAAAGCGCGGGAAAATCGAAATCCGCTTTGGTTACCGCTGAGGCGATCAATCGCGGCCTCTGGCGGCCACAAATTGACACAGAAAATTAGTGAGGTTTGCCTTAACCCCCCCCCATTCCCCCCACCTAAAGAAACAAACCTTTGTCGTGGATAATATTTTGGTCGCGAAAGCCCACGTCGTTCAACTAACACCACCGGCACTCACTGTTGGAATAACGTCGAATTGTAGCGTACACATCAACGGAGGCCTCGTTCGGTTAAATCCCATTAATTAAGCGTTTGGCTGCATGTGGGGAGGAAAACCGGATTATTGTACCCGGAAACCCCCCCCCCCACCACCACCACTCGTTTAAAGGCAGCCTCACTCACGACGCTGCACAGACGGATTCAACAATCCGTTGCCTGTCCAAGCTGCTATCTCCTGCACGCTGGGGCAGCCCAAATGCCTATGGCACTGTTAATTTTAATATATATTTCGCACATGGAAGACGAGGATATCTTGGGGGGGGGACGGGGGACATATGAGAAGGGGAAAACTAAAGTATTGACATAGCATGGCACGTATATATTTGTTTAGCTATTTAACTTTTCTTTTTTTTTACAGGTAAAAGCCCACTGAACTCTATATCGCTCTTTTTTTCAGAAGCGACCTGGCCACAATTGGTAGCTCAACGAAGTGGCTTATCGTCATGTGCAAATTAATAGCGCGCGAATCATCCAAACGCGTGATGTCGATTCTGTATGTGGAGAGGACAAACCGGAGGACCCGGAGAAAAATCGACGCGACCACGGGGAGAGAAGAGTGACACTCAAACTCCAAATATTCAGCGGCCGTCAGCATACCTGTCAAACCCTTATCAGTGCCCTACCTTATTCCAGACCAATTCAGACATTATTTTGGTCTTATACATCTCAACGTTTCATCCTACAAAGTCCCATCACAAAAGAGAAACACAAAAATACAAAATGTGCGCGTGTTTTTTTTGTTGTTGTTGCCCGTATTGATAACGGCTGTACACCGTACGGAGCTGAAATCTCAATTTCCCTGTACAAGAATGCAGGTAAACCTTACGGGTTGACATGTATGCGTCAGGGTCGCGATCAAACGCACGACCTCCTGTATACCTGGCGAGGTAGTTGACATCTTGCCTGGCAAAGTCTGCAGGCTCACAGGTTCCTCACCGACATGCAGGCTCAGTCAAGTACAACAGCAATGGTTTAGAGAAGAAGTATAAACATCGATAGAACAACTAAAACAATTCCTTCGTACACTGGGTATTTTCCCACGCAGGTGGGGGTCTGGCTTTCATGGTTCCTCTGCAGGAATACAAAAATGTAAACGCATTTTGACATGTGGTGAATTCAACGACATGAGCTACATTAGACAAATTACATCCGATCACAGACAACCCCAGTGAATTTTTATTTAAAGCTTTCGTGACTGCAGGGATTCATATTCTTGGTTCTTTCGGTAAAGTCACGTAGAAGGGAAACAATAAAATAATAATATAAACAATAAAATTCTTCCGACGTTTCGACTGCAACACAAGCAATCATCAACAAGTGTGGAAACCACAGCAAGAACATTTTTTTGCTGTGGTGAACAACGTACAATTACTGAGTAAAATAATGTATTTTTTAAAAATAAAATTCACGTCAATGTTCTCCATCTTCTGAAAACCACAGCAAGAAAATTTTCTTGCTGTGGTTTTCACACCTGACGATGATTGCTTGTGTTGCAGTCGAAACGTCGTGAGAATTTTATTGTTTTATATTTTTATTATTTTATTGTTTCCCTTCTACTTGACTTTAGCGAAAGAACCAAGAATATGTATGAACTCCAATGAAGCTAATGAGAAGGGCTATAGGCTGAGACAGAAACTGTTCAGATTATATAACTTACCCAAAACGTATTCAAATACAGGGGATTTTGAGTCGACTACGTTAATTTTGGTTTTATCTTAGATTTATAATAAGATGCATTACTATATTTAGATAGTATGAATTAAAAAAAGCATACTGAATCATAAACGCATTCGAGGACGAGGATTGCATGTGTAAATATTTGTCCTGGTCTTAAATAGACGTTTTTCCAAAGAGGTATTATATCGATCCAATAGATTTCACACACTTAAAAAAAAGACAAACATACAGCAAGTTTTCCAGAAAAGAGAAAAAAAACCCCGACAGCCCAGATTTCTGAAGCTGAACAACGTACAATTACTGAGTAAAATAATGTTTTTTTTAATTAAATGTAATTCCTGTCAATGTTCTCCATCTTCTGAGAGCCCTTCAATGTCCCCATGAGCCCCACCAGATGGCGATCTGGCGCTTCCATACACTCAGTCGCGGGGCAATCCTCACGTTTTCTCTTTTTTTTAAAAGCGATTGCAATAATTTGGTCATACGAGAAAACTCAAAGCGTTCGAAAGTAACACTGCCTTAATTCGAAAAGTATAAAAAGGCGACGTTTTGGGTAATGGCTCTTCCGCATACAGCATTGAGCTATGGAGGGCCGATTATCCTCTTATTTTGAAGGAACTTTTTTAAAAAATGCTTACACGAAAACTTAAAGGAACATTTTAAACGCATGTGAAATAGTTTTCAGAAGTTAAAAACTACGAGGAACGTTAACAACGCCATGTGTAACCAGTCTCTGGAGGGTTACCTAAAACAGTCGAAAGGTTGATCACTTGAGCAGTTATAAGTAACGTTACTAAAAGTCTGTATTTAAAAATTAATACATTGGGATTGCATGTAACATCTTTGTCCCGATGTCTTGGGTCAATTTTTAATTTCACAAATAAAATAGCCGTTGTTATACTTAAGACTTTTTTTAATCGTTATATTTGCCAAATGGTTACTGCAGTTACATTTAAACTCGTTTTTTTAAATCGTAGAATTAACTCGATTTGCCGACTCCATCACTTCTCCTAGCCGGCTGGTGGAAAACGGTACTGAAAATAATTTGTTGACCAATCGTAAGTCTTTTTGAATGCCATTCTCTCGTATGCGTGGTGTTTTATCCTCGTACATTAGGTTGTACCCAATAATCTGACCGTGGAGTATGATGAGATTTTGTTAAGTTGAACTTTCGGAATAAAACCTGCGGCACAAAAAGAGTTTTAGATGTGATTAGGGGGACTGGTTTGATTGGTTGGATGCGTGTGCAGGTTGAAGGCGGGTTGGGTAAGCAAGTTGGATCTTTGAATTAGGACGTGTCAGGAAAGTGCTGTAGATATAATGTGGAAGATGAGCTTGTGATAGATGGGGTACGCGTGTCCAGGATGAGGCGAGCAGGTTAAAGAGACGGGCACTGGAGCGGTAACCTGAGGTCGGCAACCAAGGGGAAGAGCGAACGAGAATGTAAAAAGTGGTCCTTGCAAGTCGAGCGTCAACTACGCCACAACCTAATGGCTCTGGCAGAAGAAAGAAAGAAAGCAATGACGAGAAATGACGCCTTCAGCCGACTCGACGAGGAGTTTGGCCAGATAGCTCAGTTGAGTTGGGGGGGGGGGGGGGTCCTGCATATTCCTCAACACGACTCGCGAGGCCGAAACCGTGACAATTCATAGATTCACGGGGAGGGGAAATCGATACAGATCTATAGCCTTACGAGTCGTTATGGAAAATATAAATAACAGGATTGAAATTATATCCTCCACAGTATCTCTTTCACGTACCCATCTCTCCGCAGAAAAAATATATACATTCCTTACACAACCCATCAGCCATACGGCCTTCTGGGTGTGCATTATTTCAGCAGCATTGATTCGAGACAAGCAAATTCTGACCGGTTTCGACACTTAGTGTCTCATCAACAGTCTTGCAATATAATTTTGTGTCGATCTGAGAACCCATATCCTTCCTGTAAGATCGGCAGTTCACCAGCATTGATTCAAACAAATTTGATTCAAACTCCACCGGTACAAAATTTGCTTGTTTTAAAACAATGCTGCTGAAATTATGCACTCTCAGTGGACCGTGCTGGGTGGTGTAAGAAATACGTATTTTTTTAAGTGGACAGACGGATATGGAAAGGCGAAATTTATCTGCTTATTTTGTTACATTCTAAAAAGTGGCTCACCACTCGTCATCGCTGCATTCATAACAGGAAGCATTCCTTAACCTTCTATGGGGAAGAGTGAACAAATACAAGTGTCGTGACGTAAATGGTGTCACGAGGGTGTTCGCGCCAGCTACTGTTACAGGAGCGCAACTGTGCGTCTGGAGCCTCTCTCTAGCACCAGAGTAAGTACGGCATGTCAGCCAGCCCTAGGGGGCATTGTCCTAGTGATGGCCTGAGAGAGGGCAAGGGAGGACGTCCGTAGCCTGAGCGGGGTACGTGGTGCTCGATCGAGATCCTTCGGGAAAGGTCTCGAAGGGGCATGGCCGAAGTGTTCTTGGCTCGTCTGTGGAATCAAGCCTGGGTCCCGCGTCTCTTCATCTACGGGTCTTCGTCTAGAGTTGACTCGCTACTCACATAGTTAGCCACATCACCTACAATAGAACCCGAGTTACGTTCAGTGTTACCCGCTAGGGAAGTTGTTAAATAAAAGTGTTGCCTCCCAGTCCAGAGTGTGTGCCTCCGTGTTGAACAACACTCCCCAAGCAAAATCAACACTCGTTTGCGGGAAACGTTTAAAACTTGTATTGTTAACGAGGTGATGTGGTTCTT